TGATACATTTATGTCCACATTTCAAATTCCTCTTTTTTTCCCCTTGCCTAGTTGCATTTGCTAGTATCTCTAGTACAATGATGAATACGAGCAAAACACCGGATCTGGGTATTTTGTTTCTTATTCACTTGCATTTTGTGTTTGCTTTCTTGCCATAAAGAACGTTTACTTTTATGCAAATATGTTAACTTTTTTTTAATAGCTGCTTCAGAGTGTTATGTTTTCCTCAGAATAATCTTTTAAAAATTGGCTACATTTTTTCCGGGTACTTTTCTAATTCTCTGCTTTCTAATTTTTTCTACTTTTTAAATTCTTCAATATTTCATCCATGTGGAATTTATTTTGTGATAGGGAGAAAAAGTCTCCCTCAGAAACAGAGAAGCTGGAGAATCCTGTGTTTGTTCCCTGGATAATGATTGGGGCTGGGTGTTTCCTTAGGGACGACTTGGCGAAGTTGCCCTTTCTGACCATGTGCATGAAGGAGAGCCTGCGGTTACATCCCCCAGTCCCAACCGCCATCCGATGCTGCACCCAGGACACGGTGCTCCCAGACAGCCAGGTCATCCCCAAAGGTGCTCACAGCCTCAGTGAGAGGAGTCTCCTGGGCAGGAAGAGGGGTCCCTCAGACAGGGGGGCCTTGTCCTGACTGTCCCTGTCTCTCCCACAGGCGTTGCCTGCCTCATCAGTATTATCGGGATCCATCACAACCCAACTGTGTGGCCAGACCCCGAGGCACTGCCTCCCTCACCCCACCCTTTTCGGGGTCCATTCCAAGGTTCCTAGAGGATCTGACAGGGTTTTAACCAGGGAAATCTAACATCACCTCCCCTCAATGGACACACATCTGCCAAAATGTCTCTCCAAGGCTGGCAGACTTGGGAGACCCCCACCCAGCAAACCTTTTTGGTCTCACCTCCAGGTCTACAACCCCTTCCGCTTCGACCCAGAGAACATTCTCAGCAGGGCCTAGGTAAGGGCGGCCTGTGTCTGAGGCGGGGATGAGGTGACGGGTGCGGGGGCCAAAAAAGGGGGAAGTTGCAGATGGTCCCAGATCCAGCTCTCCTTCCCTCCCTTCCTCAGGAGTTTATGGGCAACAGCCCACAGAGTGGGGTTGGGAAGGTCCTAGAGGGGTCTGCGGTGTGCTCAGAACCCCCTCCTCCATCTGCTGATCTGAACTGGGGGTAGGAGTCTGGGCCAGATTT